TATATCACACCACTTGTTTCGATCAATACAAACACATGTGTTACTATACTTACAATTCTTGGAATTCACAATTCTCGGAAATAACAATCTTATCGGCAAAACAACTGACGTTCACTATAATTTTCGTCTATAAATGTTTACGAATGCACTTTATTAATAACTGATTACTTTTGATTGTGCATAGTTTGCAACCTTTATATTTAGATTATTTTTATTTTTGATGAATGCACCCTTTAGTAAAAACAAATGTATATATATTTAAATTATTATTATGTTATTGACATTGCGCTTATTGCTTGCAGATACGCCGATGGCACAGTTAAATTACGCAATCCCAATATTGAACTTATGGATCAGGATATCTTATATCATGTAGCGCTGGGTAGCGAGAGTCATGATCTGAGGGAAATGTTTGGCGATGTTAAGGTGAGTTTTCGACAAGCTCTGATCTTTAGTAAAATAATACTAATTATAATAATAATAGTAATAATAATAATAATAATAATAATAATAATAATAATAATAATAATAATAATAATAATAATAATAATAATAATAATAATAATAATAATAATAATAATAATAATAATAATAATAATAATAATAATAATAATAATAATAATAATAATAATAATAATAATAATAATAATAATAATAACAATAATAATAATAACAATAATAATAATAATAATAATTATAATAATAATAATAATAATAATAATAATAATAATAATAATAATAATAATAATAATAATAATAATAATAATAATAAAAATAATAATAATAATAAATAAGTATTCTATATATATGTATATGCATTGTTCAAAGTTATGTCAAGGTTAACAGACATTTGATTGAGGAGCATATCTCATAGTCACCATTATTATAAATACTTCGGGTTAAGAATACTTTGCATTCTAAACACGCTAATTAGTGGTATACAACTAAACCAGATCAGATTACGCAAGTGAGAGCTCGAAAACAAGTTTGCCGTTTCCAGTCTTAACTTAATATGCAATATCTATTCAATTTATAAGCCATGTTAATTGCCCTTGATAATGAAAATCAAGTTAATAATTTTTTTTTTCTTTTTCGTATTATTATTTAAATTTTTAAACGGTATTTCATATTTTGCTCTTTCGATTCGTTCACAACCAGTTCGTTTGCATGGGCGGCACACCAAAGCGCATGGAGAACTTCGCACACTTCATTATGGATGAGATCGGCTATAAGCTTCCCGCTGGAACACAGCTGCAGGATATTAGCGAGTTCTCGTACCGCTATTCCATGTACAAAGTCGGTCCGGTGCTATGCGTCAGTCACGGCATGGGAACCCCCTCGATTAGCATACTGATGCACGAGGTTATCAAGCTGATGTACCATGCCAAATGCATTGATCCCATATTTATACGGATCGGCACCTGTGGCGGCATTGGCGTCGACGGCGGCACCGTCATCATCACTGAAGATGCGTTGGATGGGCATTTGCGCAACTCTCACGAGTTTGTAAGTGTTGATGTTGCTTGGAGTTTCTGCTGATTTATTTATGATAATTGTTGATTCTCGATAGACAATTCTGGGCGAGACTGTGCATCGCCCGGCTAAGCTGGATAAGAAGCTGGCACGTGAACTGAAATCGCTAGCCAGTGCCGATGATCCCTATGACACCATCATTGGCAAGACGCTGTGCACAAATGACTTCTACGAGGGTCAAGGACGTCTGGATGGCGCCTTCTGTGAGTTTACCGAAACCGACAAGATGAACTATCTGGAGAAGCTGCGCGACAACGGCGTCGTCAACATCGAAATGGAGAGCACCATTTTCGCAGCGCTAACACATCATGCGGGCATCAAAGCAGCCGTTGTTTGCGTTGTGCTCCTGAATCGCCTCAATGGGGACCAGGTCAATGCGCCCAAAGAGGTTATAAATGAGTGGCAACAGCGTCCACAGATACTCGTCTCCAGATATATACGCAAGGTGCTCGCCCAGCACGGCCAGCTAAAGTCGCTGTTTGGACATCATGGATCCATAAAGTCGCCGAGGCGCTTCAAGTTGGTACAGCAGGAATCACAGGCCCATGATTAGAGCTAGCAGCCAAATAGAAAAGATCATTGCATATACATCAGATATATGATTTCAAGTTACCTTTTGACTAATATGTCAAACCAACTCTCATGTATACAAATATTCCTTTAAACATTCCATAGTTTAATTCACTTTAAGTTCTTATTTTATTTCCCCATATGTGTATCTATGTACTATACGTATATCCACATCCTCATTAGCTTATTTAAAGACAAGCATATTGCAGGTATTGGCGTATTAACGCTAAAAGCTGAAAGAACTTATCCAAACTAAATATTAACAAATATTAAATAATTAACTCAATGTGACGTTGTGTTTCAATATAAACTAAATCAAATTGTTGTTTATCGCATCGCTAATTGCAACTTCGGTAATAAATAAAATGCAAAATATTAAAAAAAAATTGTTAATTGTTATGTTGCATATTCCAAATGAGGCAAACCAAATATTAATATATGTATTTCAAATCGTAATATAAAATTTCGTAAATTATTCTATTACACATATTATGCTGTAATTCCAAAAACAATTGTTATGCGCATTCGCATAATCGCATGTTGCTAATCATACGCTATATTAACAAAAGTTACTCTTATTCAATTCCAAAAAAAAAAACAAAGAAATCGAGTTGTACACGTAAAAATTCAGCTGAAGCAAATATAAAATCGGTTTAAATTAAAACACAAACATTTTATGAAACTAATTGGTATATTAAAAGCAAAATGTATTTCAACCTAAAGTTTGTTTGCTTTGTCGTCTGGGTAATCTTTTTGTGAGCTGGATTTGATCAGTACCTTCTGCTCGCTTCTAAGCGCAGGATTAAGAAGCAAGGGTATAGTTAGTTGAGTAGCTTATAGGATATTAACATTGAGGGGTATTTACGATGATGGGATATTTACAATGAAACATCTGTAGACTTAGCCTAAAAGTGTAACGGATTTAGTATAATTCCCCGAGTAGGTACGCCTCTCTGTAATAGGGTCAGCCAGGGATCTGGCGACCGCATTCGGATGCCGCAGCAGCTTGTCGGGGTAGCGGCAGCTGAAGAAACTGAGATGATCTCCGACCTTTGTTAGACGCAGACCGCATTCGATGGCGTCGTTTTTTATTATTTATTATTATTATTATTATTTACTATTATTTTTCGATGAAGTTGTGCTGATGCCGTACTCCTAGAATTGGCTGGTTTCGGTCCAAATGGGCGTCAGCATCATTTTGATGAGCAGCGCCTTCGTGGAGATTTGCAGCTTGCTTTGGGGTTTCAGCAGTCATTCAATCTTTTGGAGCCTTTTCAAGCTTTTGGCTCTGGTTGTACGACACAGGGCAAAGCACACTGACTTGTGGGACACCAGCTTTGATGCCTTTGACACTGATGCTGAAGTTTGTATAAACTATCTCTATATATAAAAATGTTTGTCCTGACTGACTGACTGACTGATTGGTGATCAACGCACAGCCCAAACCGTAACAGCTAGAAAGCTGAAATTTTCACTGTAGTTACCTTATGTGGTGTAGGTGCACGTTAAGGCGGGGTTTCGGGAAATTCCACCCGCAAGTGTGGAAAAATCGCGAAAAACGTTTGTATGTAACTTTTTTGTTTACCATCCGATCGGCCTCAAATTTATTTTCAAAGATCTTTGTTCAAATTCATTTGAGGGGTGTTTTGCACTTTTAGGAAGGTCAAAGATTTGGTGGGTGACGTTTTGCGCTCAAATCCATTTCCAGAGATCTATAAGAAATAACATTTGAAACGTGTTTCACACTTTTCGCAGAATTCAAACTTCTTCGGGGGGAATGCGATACAAAGATTTTTTGGGCGAAGTTTTAAGTTGTGTCCGATTTGCTTCAAACTTATTTTCAAAGCTCTACATAAGAACTTAATAAATAGGTATTTCAGCGATTGGGGAAATTCCACCCGCAACAGTGGTAAATTGGCGGAAAACGGTTATATGAAAGTTTTTTGTTTACGATCCGATCGGCCCCAAACTAATTTTCAAAGATCTTTGTTCAAATCCATTTGAGGGGTGTTTCACACTTTTCGAAAAATCGAATTCTTGGTGGAAATGGAGGTCAAAGATTTGGTGGGTGTCGTTTCGCGCTCAAATTCGTGTCCAAAGATCTATAAGAAAAATCATTTGAGACGTGTCTCACACTTTTCGCAGAATCCAAACTTTTTCGGGTGGAATGCGACTCAGATTTTTTGTGCGAAGTTTTAAGTTGTGTCCGATTTGCTTCAAACTTATTTTCAAACCTCTACATAAGAACTTAATAAATACGTATTTTAGCGATTTGGGATATTCCACTCGCAACATTGGTAAATTGGCGGAAAACTTTTGTATGAAAGTTGTTTGTTTACCGTTCGATAAGTTTCAAAATCATTTTCAAAACTTTTTGAGAACGTTGATTTTTAACATACGTGCCACGGGCAAGGCCGGGTTATACCTGCGAGTTATTGTATAAAGTAATCTAACATATATTAAACTGTTTGTCAAGAGCCGGAAAGCTGATATTTTTACTGTAGCTTGATAAATTCCATCCGCAAGTGTGCAAAATCGCGAAAAAGGCTTGTATAAATCTATTTGGTTCGCCATCCAAAGGCCACATAATCCTTTTCAAATATCCTTGCACAAATTCATTTGAGTGATGTTTGACAGTTTAGGGAAACAACAAAAAGGAACTCTTATTTGTGTTTTTATTTCTCGACCTTTGTTTTCATTTGGTATTGCTCGATGCATGAGACGAAGCTGAACGAATAAGAATTGGTTTCGCAATTTTGAAAGCGATACCAGCTAATGAAGCGTGCAAGGCTCTCGCTTTATGCCCATAACTCTTAAAAAGTTATTCAGCACTTTCTAAGAGTTTGAACTTTGTCAAGATCTATGAAATATGTATCCTTAAATTCTTGTTGTGAGAATTTACTCAAATGTATGTATACAAAACTTATCTAAATTCTAAATATATTTCAGTTATTTAAAATTCTTTTTCGAACCAAATTTTAAGCAAATTCAGTTAAAAACTTAAAAGAATGACGGCCAAATGTAGTAAAGATATCGAGAAAGATGTCTGCGAACTGAAAGGTGAGCAAATAATAGTCTTGTCAGTCATCCTTATAACGCAGTTATACAGCCATGGTTAAATCACAAAATAAACGCATTGATGAACTCATAAAGCACATCAAGGATGGTTGCAACCCCGAAGATCCGCAAGAGTTGGAGTCCACTTTAAGCAACATAAACCCCTACATCGAATGCCTTAATCCGGATATCTTATACCATCTTAACTTGGACACAGTAACAACTGATTTTCCGAAGGTTTTCGGTGATGTGCGCGTAAGTTGCAGGAAAGACAATAAATACAAAGATAAGTTACTCTTGTTGGGAGTTAAATCCGATACTAAAAATTGCTGAAATAGGATTTTGAGCAGAAATGGACAATAAACACTGCTAGTTGATGATGATATAGGAATGTAAATCGGAATGATTTGACGGTGAACATCAAAGCTCAACATCGATGCATCAGAATAAAACATCGATGCATAATGTTGTTGCTTACATTTTGCGCTCCCAGAGAGCTCTTTAGGTACAGTAAGGTAGTTTTTTAGCAATCTTCAAAACTTTTCTGCCTCACATTTTTTCCAGTTCTAGAATTATGTATACCCATCTTCATATATATTTACGTGAGCCAGTTGCAACAGGCAAAACCCTTTTCGTCTGTTTTCTGTTCGTATAAATTTGTTGAAAATGTTCTGTAATGAAATAGAAGTTTAGGAAATAATATTTTGTAAAGGAGCTACTGGCCGGGGTATAACTCTCAGTCTTACCAGGTCTAGCGAGTTACAAGATATTTATAATTTCGCTGGGAGAGAGGGCTTAAGGGGGAGGGGGGTGAGTATCCTGACCAAACCAAGCCTAGCTCTATTTCTGCACGCCTACGCTACCAGGCCGTGGCCTCGTACCAACTACACTAGCGGGCCGTGGCCTCGCACCAACTACTCTAGCGGGCCGTGGCCTCGCGCCAACTACGCTAGCGGGCCGTGGCCTCGCACCAACTCCACTACCCAAACTCTCTATCGGGCCGTGGCCTCGTACCACTACTCTATCGGGCCGTGGCCTCGCACCAACTACTCTAGCGGGCCGTAGCCTCGCGCCAACTCCACTACCCAAACGCTCTATCGGGCCGTGGCCTCGTACCACTACTCTATCGAAACACCAACCGGTAATGCCCACCCCGGGGCCAAAATCTCGTACCACATGCTCCTGCTCGAGGTTAAGTCGAACACCGGTTAATTCCGATGTTAAGGTAAGCCGGGTTACCTGAAAACAAAGAATTATCCAGTTTCTGCTCGATAATTATAACATATATACTTTATTCACTCCTCGCTTATTAATACTTTATAGTTACTCACGAGCTAAACCCTGCCGCACTGTTTTCTGGAGCCCTAGCGCTCCGCTATACTCTCTATGATCTTCCTCGTCTCACAATGCACGTCTACTCACCCTTAGCGTTCGTTCCAAAGTGCCGGCGCGCTCGCCAGCGAACCGTGCGCATGCCTCGGTCGCTCAACTTCGCCGCGAGCTTTCGCAACTTCACCTCGGAGCTTTCGCTCTTCGCCGCCGAACTGAAGTTGCGCTCTCGAACACGGTGTTGAGCAACCGATCAACAACGCACGGTTGCTGCGGCGGCCGGCGGTTAAATTTAAATTTAAGTTATGCCCTTGCTGGCTACGTGGCTCCTTGCCCTTAATTATGCACTTCAATACTTTGGCATCTTGTGTTAACCATTCTTATAACTAATACAATGCTTATATACTATACAATACTTGCATCCTATAATTACAATTATGAACTGTGGGGTGGCTACCATAGTGGCCGCCTCACAATTTATTTGTCTTATTTATAAGAATGCGCACAATTCTACGCACCTAGTGAAAGAGATAATGTCCGGCTAATGCCGTTCGGATATAAGTCATCTGGAATATGGAATTTGTGTTTGCTGATATGAAAATAATTTATCAGCACCACATGATAGACTTGAGTGCAACGGCAACCACAAGGAAGCCGCCGATTGATGTCCCATGTTGTTTTAGTACATTTTGTTAGCTTAATTTTTGCATTTTTTTTTCACTAGCCTTTGTTTACGTTTTGGAATCAGCTGCTTAGTGATGTGCAGATTAAGTGTAGTGTTGTGCGATTGTTCGTGACGGTGGGCACGGGTATACCCATCCCTAAAGACAGTACTGGTTTGCCGGCGCTGTCGTAGGAAATTAATGCAATAGCCTTATTCCACTATCCACATTTCTTCCACATTTTTGAAATTGTGACATTTTTGAAAAATGTGTAAAATGCAGCCCATACGTTTTCCATAAGAAAACACATTTTACACATTTTTCAAGAATGTCACATTTTTGAAAAATGTGTAAATTCGGCCCAAACAGTTCGTGATTTAAGCGATGATTTATCGAGTTTTCTATCGATGTTGTGAAAAATGTGAAAGTATGAAAGTATCATTACTATAAACAGCTGATATATTACTATATATATGACTATCAGCCTCTGCCCACTGAACACATTTCTGAAAATGTCACATTTTTGCAATATGTGTAAAATGCGGCCTGTACGTTTCCCCATAAGAAAACACATTTCACACATTTTTCAAAAATGTCACATTTTTTAAAAATGTGTAAATTCGCCCCGAACATTTCGTGTATTTTGCGATGATTAATCGAGATTTCTATCGATGTTGTGAAAAATGTAAACATAAACCAGCTGATATTGCAACGAAGGCAAGCGGTTACTTTAAATTATAATTTTAAATTTTAATAATCCCACAGTTTTTAACATTTAAAGTTGGCCAAATCCCGCAAAGGGTCTATTAAACGGAGCCCCTACTTCGGGGCCGTATTATTTGACTTTTGGAAGGAAATCTGTGCGGCGCTTATGTAAATTAAAGCAACTCGATCAGCTGTTTATTCAAAGAAACAGTACTTTTGCCACTCACATGTTACCGAAAACCGGTGGAACACCAATATGTAAAACTTGAAAATGTGACATTTTTAAGCCCAGTGGAGAAAGGCTATATATGATTACTATAAACAGGCGATAACTTTAAATTATAATTTTAAATTTTAATAATCGCATAGTTTTTAACATTCAAAGATGGCCAAATCCCGCAAAGAGTTCATTAAATGGAGCCCTTACTTCGAGGTCGTATTATTTGACTTTTGGTAAAAAAACTTTGCGACGCTTATGTAAATCAAAGCAACTCGATCAGCTGTTTATTTAAATAAGCGGTACTTTTGCCACTCGCATGTTACCGACAACCGATACTGTCAATGTAACACCAATATGTGCGACTTGAAAATGTGACATTTCTTAAGAATAGTGGACAAAGGCACTATGCATTTTCGTAAAACAACGTCGATTCTCGAAACTGAATGGAAAGAGTGCGTTTTTAGAGAGTGACGTTACAAAATCGGCATTAACTATTTACAGACACATATATTTTAAACCGATCGTTTCTATGGCAGGTCTGTGATCCGATGCTAATAGGATTTTGCCACTAAGCAAAATTATAGAAAGAGGCTTCAAAGTGACCTAAAAGACTTTCTGTTGCGACTTTGACCCAAGAGTGATTGCGTACAATTTGTTATGCCCAGACCCGCGAGAGCCAATCGACCAATGCCAAACCGTCTTTCAGTGCCCAATGTCGCTGGGGCTGATTTTTTACAGAATATATTTAAGTTTGTTTTGAAAGCGCCATTTTTTCCGATTACGTTAATAAAAGAAGGTAAACTGTAAAAAGAGAGGCAGCTCCGACCACATGAATATACTTATTCTTGGCTAGCATAAATAGCCGAGTCGACCTGGTCATGTCCGTCCGTTTGACTGTATGTATAAGCTCGGTAATCTCATAACCCAAAACAACTAGAGACTTAAAACTTGAACTTGACTTTCAACATAGGTCCTTCCGGTGCCCGCGCAGTACATGGTTGTTTCCGATAACTTGACCTGTTTCCAATCAATCAATCAAAATGGACATCGAAATTCTATTTTTGGTCAAATCTTAAGGAAAATCACCAAATCACCTTTTATTTTTAAGCTATCAAGCAAAGGGAAAACTTAATTTTTGTTCTTAATTTCTTTTAATTAATACTAAGGCAAGGGAGCAATTAAGCTGCATATTGTTATTCGGTGTTACTCATTTTAGTACTTATATTTTTCAGTTTAAGGGAACTTCCTAGTCGGGCAATATCGACTAGAGCAACTTTACTAGTTTATATATCAACTGTCATGGCCACAGTTCGTATGCTTGGGCGGCACGGAATCGCGCATGGAGAAATTCGCCAATTTCATCATGAAAGAGATTGGACTTAAGATGAGCCAAAGCGTTACGCTAAAAAACATATCCGCGGAAGGCCATCGATACGCCCTGTACAAAGTTGGGCCAGTGCTGTGCGCCAGCCATGGCATTGGCGGCCCCTCAATCAGCATAGTGTTGCACGAGCTCATCAAGCTCGTGTACCATGCCAAGTGTCAGGATCCTGTCTTCTTTCGCATGGGCACCAGTGGCGGCATTGGCGTTGAGCCTGGCACTGTGGTGATTACATCAGAAGCTCTGGATGGCCAATTGCGACCCGTGCATGAGGTGGTCGTTCAAGCTCAGCCCCAGCTACGGCCCACCACACTGGACCAGGACTTGGCCAAGACGCTTAAGTCCCTATCTAATCCCTGTGGAGATGGCTATGATACTATCACGGGCAAAACGCTCTGTACAAATGACTTCTATGAGGGGCAGTCACGTCTGGACGGTGCCTTTTGCGATTACACACCAGAGAAAAAGATGGCATTTCTGGAGAAATTGTCTCAAAATGGAATTGTCAATATAGAAATGGAAAGTACCACACTCGCAAGCCTCACAAATCAGGCCAATATTCGTGCCGCTGTCGTCTGCGTGACCCTACTCAATCGCATGGAGGGTGACCAGGTTTGTCCAATCTATGCCCAGTCGCTGACACTGATCATCGACTTCTTGGCTTATTGCAGATAGACGCACCACCAGAGAGACTCAAAGGTTACGATACAAGACCTCAAATCCTAATCGCTCGCTACATACGAAAGGTCATCTACGGAGATGCCCCGGGTGAAGATAGTTCTTACTCATGCGACTGCAGCGGCGATCAGAACTAATCGTCAACACCAACTGTGCAATATAGGAAGAATGTACTCCTTTATTTATTTATTTTTTAGTTTAATAATGTTTTTTTTTATGAGAACCAGTTTCAAGTACATTCGCGCAAGAGCATACAATTGCATTCCGCAATACAAACTCATATAGTGACTCATATAGAGAGAGAGAGAGAGAGACCTCTAGCCCATCGATCGAATTGTATAGAGCAGTATTTAACGAACCGTCGGAGCGCTCACAACGTCCAGCGGAAAGACCGATTCTACAAAATGTAAGTTTTTTTTTATAACCTGAACGCATTGCAAATGGGTAGATCTGACAGGCAGCCGAGCCGATCTATCGATCTGTCAGACTGGAAATTTTGAATATGTGAGCCCGCGCAGATCAACTCAAGAGCTAGAAACACCAAGTCCTGTATATAGACTCTTTAATAATATACTCATATTCAAAATACTTAACTTTTTGAATACCTCAGCCGTTCCCCCGAACAATTAAATAGCTAATTTGCGGAAATATGGCCATGGTGTTTGGTATTAACATATATTTTAATTTATCTCCTTAAAATTTCATAAAGATCGGACAATAAGCACCGAATTATATCACAAAATAATTTCATATAGTGTAGGGCGTAGTCGTTCACTTTCGACTAGATCATCTTTCTATATAAATATAAATATAAATATAAAGGCGTGTATTAAAAGTTTTATAGATAAGGTGTATATGTAAGTTCGTTCTTGTTGCTTTTTAGCCGGCGTTTTTTTGCCTTTCAGCGAGATAGTTTGTTATTTATGATAGAAAGAATGAATTTCTGACTAATAAAGACCATTACATATATGCCATATACTTTTATACTACGTCCCAGCCTAAGCCCTTTCACACATTAGCTAAATTACGCGCGGATGGTTCTTGAAAAAGCTTTTCAAAATAAAGTGGTCCGAAATTAATAAGATTTCTTAGGTTTTAAGAGCCAGTCACCAAATTTAACATATAACTATCCTTTAGCTATAATTCCAATAAATAAATCAATTAGAACTGTCCACCAATTTAAAACACAATTTTAATAATTTATTACCGTCCGTCCGTCCGCCCGTAGGTTCTCCTAGTGCCCGCGCAGATCGAGTTTGTTTCCGATATTCGATAACTTGCTCCGTTTCCAAGTAATCAATAAAAATCGATATCGAAATCATGTTTTTTTAACAATTTCGGCAAATAATATGAGCTAGATTCACCAAACTTGACATGTAGCTTCTAGAATAGTATATATATATATATATGTATATATAGTATTTTTCATTTTATACCTATCGCCTATCGGAAGAAGAGGGTTCAGGGTATCCTCTAGTCGGGAGCTCCCGACTAGAACCTCTTACTTGTTTTTAATTTCATTTGTAGTTAGAAAAGGGGTATCTCAGAGTCGGTAACTCCCGACTAGAGCCTCTTAGTTTTTTGCGCATTGCATATATCGCCATAATTTCAACACAAAATATTTGCATTTGCAAGTGTTTATATTATTCGTAAACACATTTTTCCACGTCTGCTTTCCATCAGCCAATGCAACGAGTCATACAGCAAAATATTTACCATATGTATACATATAATAAAATAAATATAGACAGAAAAGGAGTGTTTGTAATACGATAACGCTGTTCGTTTTGATTCCGAACGCAGCAACAAGCGCATAAATGCAGTCATTGCAAAAATATGCGTCTTGCACTATCGGTATACAGGGTCTGCTCTGGTATCGGAGAGAAAAAAAATTCATTTTGCAGCTCCAACAACTAGAACCTGATTATGCAGTTATTATATTATAAATTATATTAATATAAATAAGTTTGTAGCTTAATTGGGGATATTATAATTCTGCATAATTGTCTAGAAACTTTGCACTGGTCCGTCTTTCTGTTGCAGGTAGTACATATATCGAACCGCCCGGATGGGACAGCTATATATCATAATCATCATCATAATCATAATAGCTGTTCGGTACGAAAACCCTTTTTGTTTTTCAAGATATCTAGACCAAACTCGGCATTTACAAGTTCAACTAAGCTGTCTATATATGAGCTAAGACTCTTCAAGATATAACTACTATTTAATATAGCTCTTTAGAAAGAATCGGGCAAAAAACTAGGTTTAAAAAATAACGGTTCATTAAAACAAACTTTACGGAAAATCTATTCCAATAGGTGAAATGTAGGTCCAAGACTTTACGGGCCACTTATACAAGGTAGTTAATAACTTTATTTAATGGTATACTTGTAAGCCATCAGTCTACCCATTTTATTTGCCGATGAACAATGTAACTTTTTACTATCTGGAAATTATTTATAGCGTTATCAAATAAAGACTAGAACACAATGTCAAGAGGGTAAGTGGACATTGCCTTACGTGCCCAAGTGCATACGAGCTTTTATTATTTTACCCACAGCGTGAATCTGAAAAATCCCAACCTCAATGAAATGCCCTCTGATTTTCTATACCATCTGAACATCAATGTGGCCAAAACCAAGGATACTAGCGACATTCAAAAGCAATTTGGCGATATAGTCGTGCGTAAGATCTACAAATAAATTGGAATACTGAAATGTACATCCCCCTTCCCCTACTTAGGTCGTATGCGCGGGTGGCACTCCCAAGCGTATGCGAGAGTTGGCTATTTATTTGCGTCCTATATTGGGCATAACGGACGACAGCGAACCCGTTGATCTGTGCGCGAGTGGACAACGCTATGCTGTCTACAAGGTGGGCCCCGTTCTATGCGTCAGCCACGGTGTCGGCTCCTCAACGTTTTCAGTGGTGCTGCACGAGCTGCTGAAGCTGGTCAAGTATGCCAAGTGTCACGATCCCGTATTCATACGCATTGGCACATGTGGCGGTGTAGGCGTTGAGCCGGGCACCGTTGTAGTCACCAAGGATGCGTATAATGGTTACTTAAAAAACGAACATGAGATTGTAAGTGTACAAGTTTGCGGAGTACCAGCTCGCTCTTAACGATTTCTTGTTTTATTTCTGGCGTCTGGCTAGCCCATTCTGGGCAAGCGTGTGGTGCGACCCGCTAGTTTCCCGGACACACTTTGCCAGGAGATCTTAAAATATGGTGCAAAATCTGACGATGGCTTCAGCACCATAATTGCCAACACAATGTCTACCGATTGTTTCTATGAGGGTAAGTGCCACCCACCTGGAATGACAAAAAAAAAGTATATGCTATATGTATACATTTTATCTATGCAGGTCAAGGACGCACTGATGGCGCTGTGTGTGAATACAGCGATGGTGAAAAGATGGAGTTCCTGAAGGAATGCCATAATAAGGGCATACGCAATATCGAAATGGAGGCCACCATGTTTGCTTCGCTGACCCAGAAGGTTGGGGTCCGGGCTGCTGATGTTTGTGTCACGCTCATAAATCGCTTGAACGGCGATCAGGTCAGAGTCCTTCCGAAACATATAGTTATATAAAGTTTAGTCTCCTTTAATTTGTTGTTTCTGCACATAATTCTTTCACAGGTGTCCATTACAATGCACCAAAAGGAATTGTTTGAGCAGCGCCCTTTTCTGATTGTGGGACGTTATATAAAGCATTTATTACCTTGAAATCAATAAACGTCAAATGTTTATATTGTATATTACAATGCACCAAAAGGAATTGTTTGAGCAGCGCCCTTTTCTGATTACGTGGGACGTTATATAAAGCATTTATTACATTGATATCAATAAACGTCAAATGTTTATATTGTATTATTGTATCATTGTATTTCCTGTATTAACAGCTTCTTGTTGTTGTTGTCACTCTGGTTGCTCTGCGGCAGACGCAGCTCTGCCTGCGCGGTGGACATCCCTTGCATCATCTGCTGCAGTTGCTGCTTTTGTGCGCTGGCAACGGGGTTTCTAGTTTTCAGTGTGCCTCCTAGTGCTTCGGCAGCACAAGCTATTTTGCTTTTAATGACCCGATTTGGCTTGACCAACTCGGCCAGATCATAATCCTTGGGCGGCTTCGCGGCCTGCACGTCCCTTGGCTGTGGCTTTGCCTTTGTCTTGGGCTTATTGTCATCTGTGGCTTTCTCCGATTGGAGTTCCTCAATGATCATACGTGTAGCATGTGCAGGAGCCAGTTCGCCCAACTGTTGACGCAATCCGTCCAGCGCCTTTTTAGCATTTATATTATCGGGCTCCAGAGCCAGTAAACGTTGATAGAGGCCATAGGACTGGCAGAAGATAAGTCAGGATATATAATGTATTTATTGAAATACAAACCTCGCGACGACGTCCGTGGCCATAGTTGGCATCGGCCAAACGTAGAAGTGCCTTCACATTGTCGGGCTCGAGTCGGAGGCAGGCTTCGCAATCATCTATAGCTGGCAAATAGTTCTTCTTCTTTAAGTCTGTTGAGAAATCAGATGAATAGGAGGAATACGTGACAACAACCCTGTGGCTACTCACACGATACGGCACGATTGTTGTAGGCGCGTGCAGCTTGTGCCGGATCGTAAACTATAGCTAGTGTATACTCCTCAATGGCATTGTCATACTCCTTGGCCTTAAAATACTCGTTGCCTCGCAGACGATATCTGTACCAAATTAAGTGTATATATCATCACATATACATATAGAACTGGACACTACTCACTTCTCGGCATATTGCTCGCGCTCGATTTGACTTAGTTTCTTGAGCTGCGCCTGCAGGCGCTGCTCCTCGGCGCCCTGTTCACAAATTTTAATGTGCTCCTCTTTTGTTGTCTCAGTTTTTCGTAACTTTATATTTGCCTGCTCTTTCGAACGTTCCTCTTCCAAATCCATGCGCAAGATTTCCTCATCTGGATCGTACTTGTCCCATTTACTGTAATCCGTAGACTTGATGCGCTTTTCATTTGTTGATTTCAACTGTGGCTTTGCGTTCGGCTCAGGCACTGGTCCAGAATTTTGGGTCTCACTCTCCTCCTTGTCAATCTCTATTTTGCATGGTTTTCGCACAGGGGGCAGATCCGTTGCTAATTCAGCCGCTTCCTCTTTTAGTTCATTCAGCGCGCTGTCCTTGTTCTTGATGGCATTTGTCCAGTCCTGGATAATATTAACATTATT